CACACTTCTGAAATAAGCAAGGCTCACAGTATTTCCAAACTAAAGGAGCTGTTGCACAAGCGTTGCATCTACTGTTGTTCTGGCAGATTTCTTTGGACTGAAATCTAGGTCCAGATGTTACGGACAGCCTGAGGTAACTTGTGTCGAAGGGCTGCAGCCATCAGAACAAGGAATGTAGCTGCATGATGAAATGCATTTTATTCACGGTATGGAGAGTCTTGGTCTTAAAGTAAATTGTTTACATATTTCAGAAGCTGAGCATCTATGGAGATTTGGAATACATGAATGAACAAAAACTGAACAGATACCCATCCTCTGCACTTGTTCTGGTTAGATGCAAGACTGAGGAACATGAAGAAGCAGGACCTCTTCCTACAAAAGTCAATCTGGCTCAATCGGCAATTTAAATAAGTCTCGATTGGATCCAATAGACTAATTCTAACAGAGCTAGCAACTCCTGATTGATTGTGGTGGTTCTGCAGAGAAGAAGCTTAGCAGCCAGTCTTTAAATGCAAATAAAGTTACAGAATCAACAAATGTCATGGGATTTTCTTCTCAACTAGTAGTGAAGATTCAGACATCTTGAATTTATGTTTGTTTCCAGACATAATTACTTTTCACTGGTGTTTGCTATGTGTCTTTTTGCTTACAAAAGCTGTAAGCATGCTTTCCATACTTCTGCCATGACACTTTCAAACTTATTTGTGTGTTCTAGGATGTAATGTGTACATTCAGAGTTAGCTTTGTAGAGGTATAAGAAATTTTAAGTAGGCAGGAGATGCCTTTTTAGTGTTGCACTTTCTGTTGTAGTTAAGAGAAAATATTATAAAGTTATCTGCTGAATTTTTGTACTTGTTAATGTTCATGTGCAAACAACCCTGTCTCCAAAAATAGAAATATATTTTTTCTACAGTATGGCAATATCCAGGATGGAAAGCTTTTGTGAGGTACTGTAGGCTAGAACTCAGTTTGTGAAAGATGGAAACTTTGTTAGGACTTATGGACATATCCCTTCACACGCAGCACGTAACACGGTTAATTATTTTGTCAAAGGTTAGCCTTTAAGTCTTAAATTGCTTGTAAAGTTAGCACCTGTGTTTTCTGAAGAAATTCTACTTTCTGTTTTTGCTTAACTATTCTAGTCTTGTAACTTAATTTACAGAAACAAGTTGATTCTTGAGAAATGAGAACAGACAAATAAAATTGACTGTATAGAAGATGTTGACTGTACAGCTTTTTGCGATGGTTAATTATTGACCACAACATAGTCAGTGTGAAAGCCTTTCTGTGGCATTCCTCTTGTGGGCGATGTGACCTGATTTGCTGTATGATTTGCTAACACAACTACTAACAACATCCCTCGTATTTCTGATATATTTTTGTGGCTCTTTTCTTTGAGGAGGTTACTATGTGCTGTTCCCAGAGCATTGGCCACCTGGCGATGTATCTGATTTTACGGTCTTTGCGTAAGAGTTTGAAAGCTGGCTAAAATGCATGATCTCCAGCTCAGCGTTGTATTTTGTTGATTATACAGAACTCCTTTGAAGGTTTGTAAAGAAAACAAAACCAAACAACACCTCTGCAGATTTTGAATTGTGGTGAGAACTGTAGACAGAGGATCCAGTCTAGTGTTCCCTCACTGTTAACACTGGTTCAACAGTCCTTCAAAATTCAACTGTGATGCTGGAGGCTGTGTAACTGCAGCTGGCGGAGCCTTGCAGGGGCTGTTAGGCAGGAATGTGCATTCTGTGGCCTGCGCAGTGCTGCTGGAAACCCCAGCCTAGAAGCACTGCAGCAGTTTTTCTGTCAGTGAGGTTTAAGAGCATTAAGCGATGTTGGTTTTAAGCAGGTTTGTAGTGACGTGCAGAAATTGCAATTTGAAGTCTTCAGTTAGAGGTACCTCTTAATGCTGAGTTCTTCAGTGGGACAACACGGTAATTTGAGTGCCAGCAGGCATTGACAGGTACCTGTGTGTGTCAGTGGCATTACTGTGAACGCCTGAAGCGTGACTGTTGTTGGGAAAATCAATGGCCTGATGTTTTTGGAACACTGCTCACTTGCGCGATAGCAGGGGCGGGCAATCCCTCTGTCTGCAGCAGTGATTCAGTGGTGTTTCTGCTCCCGTAGTGTGCAGCCCTGTTCCAGTGCAGGGTGCCAGCATTCCGCTTTGAGCAGTATCAAATGTGATGTGTGCAATGGCTGTTCAAAAATTACTTTGTAGATACAGGCTCTATGTCAGTGATCATTGCCTGTCTGAGCACTATGCTGTTCGGGAATGCCTTTCCAGAAGAAACTTCAGCAATCCCACTTTTTGTGACTAACATGTAAAAAGTTTTCAATTCTGTTAAAATGTTTCCCTTTACTATTATATGTAGTTGCAGAGGGAGTGTTACAGCTTCCTCTTCTGAAACATTTGACTTTGTTGCTTCCCTTCCTAGGTTTGGGTTAAACAACTTCTGCTTTCATTGGGCTTCGTGTTTGCCTACAACAAAGGGAGAAAGCTCAACACAAGCTTTACCTGTTCTGTTTTTTGTTCGCTGTTTAATGACGTTTCAGCACAGTAATCTGTGCAGTGAGGCCAGGGATTCAGCAAGGGGTTGTTAGATCCCAGGAAACTCCGTGCCTGTGGCATCTGTCACGGGGCACTGCTGTTTCCAGAGGGAGCCAACGTCTAAAGTACTTGGTAAGTGTTGTAACCTCTTGTCAAAGTGTCTTCCCTCAGTAACGTCAGATACCAGCTGGGCTGCAGTAATTGAACTGTTTCTCAAGATTTCTGATCTAAATGGAGTATTTAAGCTATCTTGCCATTTGACTTTGTGAAACGGCTTGTCCTACTTGTTTTTTGTTAAATGTTTGACTTCCCGACATCGTCATTTTCAGAAGCTGCAATTTGGGTTTGATCTCTGCCCAGGACCGCAGTTTAAATGAAGGGCCTTAAATTATTGAAATTGCAGGAGGAAAGCATTTCATATTCTCTTTAGGTGTGTGTTCAATTGAATTTGTGTCAGACTTTAAATGGAATCACCTTGGCACAAACGAGGCAGCGCTCTCAAGCGTGTGCGATTCATTGCTGACAGAAGTAGACATGGTACATTTAGGGGGGCTTGGGGGTTTTTTTTAGGTGCTGGAATTAGCAGTGGTCTCCTGTCATAGTGGATATCTTGATCTGTGTTCTCTCTTCAGCTTCTGTGATCTTTGGCAAAGAATTCTTAATTTTTTTTTCTAATTTCAGAAGGGCTTGCTTGTGTTTGTTACCTCATTCTCATGAGCTCGTTTTTCTGAGCTAGAAGCAGTCTTTGCTGTGGGGTCACCACTCTGAAGCCCAACTGCCTGGCTGGCTACAGCTGAGCTTGATAATCTTGGTATGGGAAACAGGTGGTGGTAGAGGTCAGGTCTTATGGGCGTTTGCGTCTAGGAGTGGATTTACTCCCCATTTTAAACATTTTTATCGTGGATTGTTTCATGGGGTACGAATAGCTAGCCTGCCTGACCCGGCTCCTACGCGAGACTGAAACTCACAATCATCTGATAAGTGTTCTGAAGGCTCAAAGTAGTCCTGTATCAAGTCTGATAGAAACTAGAACTTCCTCTTTGAAGAGAAATAGATTCAGAATCTAAGATACCCAGGTTTTAACCCTTAGTCTGTCGTTCTTCCTTATTGCAGCGGGTGCCCAGACTTGCAGGCTGTTTGCTACTTGGGGTTTGGCGTTTTCACCCCAAATTCCCCTCAGAAGAGGAGAGCTTTCTAGCACCGAGTTTAACAGTGATGTATTCCCATGAGAAGCTTCTGCTTTGGACAAACAGCTGTTGCCATGCAGAAGGAGGAGCTCCTGGAGGCTGATTTTAGTTCTGGCTGGTCTGTGAGCAGGTGGGTGCAGGGTTGGCAGATGCCCTTGTCAAGAAGCTGATATTAACTCGATGGAATAACTCAGTGTAATCAAGAACAGCTTGTGTGTGTGGGGATGGAGAGGGACATAGCCTTAATTGTTCCTCCATGTGGGGTGTTCTTCGGTGTTTTGAATTCACTTGAGGGTACTGTCTTAGAGCTGACTTAGCAACATAGCTGCCCATGTCCCCTCCAAAGCCCTGGGGAGCTTGTTTTGCTCATGTTTAGGGAGGAATCGTGATCTGTGGGGTGGCAACAATTTGGAGGCACTTGAGTCCTATGGACCCTCCTGCCAGCGAGAAGAACAGGAGCTCCTCAAACACTTACATCAGCACTTTTTCTCCCCTCTACCCCCATGGCAAAGCTGCCTGCTCATCACATTTTATCCTCGAAGCCGCAGCAGTCTGTGCTGTGTGTGCTGTGCCGAGACCTGCAGCCGGTTTGAAGGCTGCCATCTATTTGTAAGTACATGTTAGCTACGGGTTGAGCTGCTAAGGCATAAAAGAGAGGACCCCGGGGGATTTGCTCTGCCCGTGCTCGTTGCCCAAGCAGGGAAGCTATTCCAGATGGATGTATCCTGTACAGTTCTGCTGAGATTTCATCGTCTTGCAGGAGTCGGGTCTGATACTGCTACAGCGTCAGCCCTGTTTTGGGAAGGAGGTGGGGAGGAGACTTGTGTGAAGAAGATCCAGCTCTCTTCCCTCAAACTTTCATTCCATTTCCCTTTTGAAGGGGGGTTCTCCCTGACTGCATCAGGGTAAATGCATCAGCTGGAGGTGAGCATTCCTCTTCGGAACTGACCTCAGGAGTGGCAACAGGGTTCTCAGCATCTGAAATATCAATGTCCTTTATGATTTGCATAATGACCTTTTGTGAAACCGAGATGGAGCCAGGAGGAATGAGAAGAAAAACCAGAAACCCTGCTTCCAACTGGAGCGGGGGCACGGGCACGGTGCTGCCGTCCCCATCCTCCTGCTCGCGTGCCTGGGCAGCAGCACGCCCCGTGCTCTCCTGCCTCTGTTGGGTTTTGTCTCCTGGTAACACTGCTCGTGTTGGGCGCAGAAAATTCCCTGCGGTCCTTCGTGCTGCTGCGAGGGCTGGAGCTCTGGGAAGCATGAACAAAACTCACCCCCAGGTACAGCCCTTCTCTTGGGAAAAATCTTACGTGCAGCTGTTTCCTGAAGTCCGTGTGTTCTTGATAACATTGTTTGTCTGACCTCTTTATCGCTGGTTTCTGTGAGATTTTGAGTTGTTTCTGCTTAACCTAATTTGATACAAAAGGAAAGTATTGATACAAAGCGCTGGACTTGTGTTAGTGTTTGTTTTACAAATGGGTAACTGAGAGTTAAAGGGTGATGTGACTGATTGTTTTGGGAATTAAAACTGGGCCATGTTTCCACCCAGGCAATTTTTGCTTGTATGTGAAAGTAAAGGAATATGCTATATGTTCCTGGGTTAGATGGTACAAGAAGTAGAATGGTTACTGCATGCTGCTTCTGTGAACAGACTTTTATTCCTTTCCCTCCAGAGAAATGGTGATGTAGCTACTTTTGATTCAACAAAGTCCTTCTCTGAAGAAAAAGGTAATGAATAAAACGCAGAGCTTAACGTTTTTATTATTAAAGTATAAATCAATTGAAAGTATCTATGTAATGTAAAATGCAACCAGTATTTAGGGTCTGTTAAGACTGATTTATTTTTCTTCCCCTTATCTATGTAGTGATACATCCAGACTATAAAATTAATAAACTTTAATTGTTCTTTGTTGGCCTGGAGTTGGCAGTCTTATGGCATAGTAGCATGATATGTAACCCTTGTCTGTTGCAGAAGAGGTGTCTAATGAACATTCTGTAGGCTTTCTATACATTTTAATAGCCAAACTTCAGCAAATTTTGTCCATTTTAAGAAGGAGAAGAAGAGATCAAACTATCAATAGCAAACCTGTAGGTGGGGTTGCACCAATGTTTCACCAATGCCGTTATTTTATACTCGTGTCTGTTTGCAGCTGTTGTGCTTGCTGGTCAAAGGTGGTGTCCTGTACACGCAGATGCTGTAGTTCACCACTTCTCTTTCAAAGTCAAATGTTCCGCCTTTGATTCCCTCCCGAGCTTGACGGGGGGTGGTGGCTGCAGCCGGGTCCCTTTGCAGCCAAGCAGAGGCCGTGCCTCCGCTTGCTTTGTACAACACAGCCACCCAGTGAATACGAAGCACAGCTAAACAAATCCTAACTTTTCAATCAAAGCTCTTTAAGTTCAGAAAAAACGAAGTATACATGCAGGGTTGTTTTAAGTGACTGGTTGTGTGTTTCTCAGATGGCTGCGTTAATTTTTTTTTCTGTTGGTCTAGAAATAAGAAGGAATGCAAGAAAGCACAGTGTTGGTTTAGAGACAAAGCCAAGATTCACTAACACAGCTACTGCAGAGAGCTGAGACGAGGGCAGCTGATCGATGTTGATCTTACGTGTGCTGCTGTGGTGTTGCAATGACTGGGGGCTTGGCGTTTAGCTTCCAGATTTGGCTTGATTTATGTACATGACTTTCTGAAAGTTGGAAAGTTGCTGCTCTTTGTACCCTGCAGATGTTTTTGGGGAGGGAA